CAGGGCATTCTCTGCGAAGACAGTGATTGAAGGCTTAATTAAGCAGCCCGACGAGGCCCCTGCTATTTTTAATTCGTACAGTGTGTTCAAAAACATGTGCAATAGTGTAACATAAATAAAAATGTGTTTTGCTCAATACACAACTGATAAAACTGAGAAGATGACATAGAATTCATCTGGTTACAAATATTCCATATGTACATCATTTCACAATCAACACAGAAAACATATTGAAATATAATTGACGCAGAATACACAATATACCTGCATATAACATAAGCATATAGATCACACAGATCACTCAATCACTTACGCAGTATACACGCGCTAGGTAAACTAAACAGATCTTTTCACCACGTTACAGATATGAACGGAATATCAGTGCTTCAGTACAATGTACGTAAATAAACAATAGAAAGCGGGGATGCTAGTAGTACAACAAAGCAAACATCGCGCCACCCTACAACGCGCATGCTGTCGTCCCGTGAGTTGTTTTATACATTCTTTGGATCTTACTGAGGCTCTCTGTCCAATTAATTTTTGTTCTTCTGTTTGTTCAAAAATTTGTGTAGGTGTATAGGTTAATAATTGTTTCTCGTAATTGATGCTAATCTTCGGAAGCCTCCTCATCTGCTGCCTAAACGTATACCGACGTTCAACTATATACCATGCCATTATCTCTATATATGCTTGTGGTGTGCATATGCTCCATTAATTTATAAATTTAAACTTGGTCAGCCATGTCAGCATGTCATGTCGCATAAATGATTCCCGAGAGCGTAAATCCTGGATATCCCCTATATTATTTTTAAAATACGCAGCACTCGTTTTTTAGTGTTGTTAGTCTACTATATAGTTGCGATGAGTGGTAGTACCCTATACTAATGAACAGGCCGTCATCGAGTAAACTAAAGTGAAGTAAAGAGTTTTATTTAGGTGAAAAGGTATTAATGTAGAAACTCTAAATACATTCTATTGATCGAGATATATCAATTTCCAGATGACTGACATGCCTTGACCATGTCAAAGATTCGTGGAACCGAGCACCTAGGAATTTCTGTTCAGGTGTTAGGCTAATAATACTCGCAGTGCCATGGGTAATATATATTTTATGCTGGTCTCATTTATTTGGGGGAGAAAAAATGATGTATTTAGTATTAGACGCATTTATTTCCAGACAGCTTTTTAACCAATCAGGAAGCCTTTTCAGATAATCATTAGCTTTTTCGTGAAGTTTACGTTTTGTCCGCGAAGTAAAAATATGCTTGTGTCATCCTCGAACATGAGCATATCGAGAGTTTTGTCTATTTGTCTTATATCATTGATGTATAACAGAAAAAGTGTACGAACCAACACTGATCCTTGGGGTACTCTCTTCATTACACTTAACTGCGCGGAGGTGTAATTGTTTACATTTGTAAACTGAAAACGTTTCTCAAGATAGTTATTATTTTCAACGACGTGGCACGTAAGCCTTGACATGTCAACTTGTAAAGTAATATACTATGGTTAACCAAGTCAATCGCTTCTCGCGAATCTAGAAACAGCCCTAATGTATAATACTTATTTTCAATACCTTGAATGATTTTCTGCTTTGTATAAATAACCACTTGTTCAGTTATTTGCATTATTGAAATTGAAACTGTGGACAAGATATAATATTGTATTTCTCTAAGAACTTTGTTATACGATCATTATTTGCCCACTCAAAATCTTTTTTTAATAGGCAATACCAATACTGCCCGACAATTTATAAGGGCTTTTTAATCTCCAAAATTGCGTATCGGTACGGCCTTGCAATTTTAAATGGTCAGGGAAAATTACTTTGTTGAACACTTTAGGTTAATAATATGAGCTAGAACATTTGCTAATAAGCTGGAAACGTACTTGATCAGTTGAGGTTTAAAATCACCATAGCTAGCAGTGATATCATATTTTATTCTATTTTATAAGCAAATGTTCAGTTTCATGGGGGGAGACGTGATGCAGCACAAAATAGTTTCGTAAATAAACAACGTATTTCGTTGGTTGCTGTATTCCTACGTCAGTCTTTTCTGATTGTATGAAATACTCATGAAAAATATGGACCAGACACTGTCTTGTTATTCTAGTTTCATTTATTTCAATTTATTGAGCGCTCTCTGTTACAGCCTTTCTTCTTCTTAGCCTGTCTACTATTCTCCTTTCCTCCTTCCCCAGCTCAGGGTAGCCAACATGTCTGAGAAATGGACAATCTTCCTCTCCTTCCTTTTCTCTTCCCTCTCCTCTTTTTGCTCCCACATGTTTTTGTATTATTTCGATGTCGTAAAAACAAGCCTTCGCAATAAGTTTCTTTTGCTTTTATTAAATCTGCAGTTAGTTCATTTCGAACTTTTTTGAACTCCTTCAAAAGATTTAAATCCGGCGTAGTAATAAAAGTGTAATACATCCTAGTTTTTACTCTTATTTTACCGTACAGTGTGGCATTTATCCTTGGTTTTTTCTTACTTCTTTCTTCTTTTTTTTCGGCGACACTGCAAACAAAACGCCTTATCCTAACTCCCTTCCCACTTGGTATAGAAGTTTTCGTAGGCCTCATAGGGGTCACAGTCATACGCACTAGTCCAATTTACTTCCTGCAACACTGAAAATATCTTGTCAAGCGATTTATCATTTAACACAAGATAATTTCTTACTTCCGATTGTTGGCTACTCTTTAAGTGAGCAGTAATGCCCCGCCGCGGTTATCTAGAGTGTCATGTACTCGGCTGCTGAACCGCAGGTAGCGGTATCAAATGCGAACTGCGGCTGCTGCATTTCTTACAGAGTCGAAAATGCTGTAGACCCGTGTGGTATGATTTGCGTGTACGTTAAAGAGCCCCAGGAGGTCAAAATTTCCACAGCCCTCCAATATGACACCTCTCATATGAATATGGTAATTTGGGGGCGTTAACACTTACATATAAGGATTAAGGAAGTAGTAACACAAAACACGAGCAGGTGATCGCTCGGGTCACTAAGTATCACTCCACTCATGACTATTGAGGCAGCGATACTCACGACGCAGATGTCTGTGGTTGTACCTGTTTTAGGAGCAATGCGTGCGGGTGCAGAAACTAAATTCTCACATCCATATAACATGTATAATCAAACTGTTATAGTCCACCGCATACAAGTCATCACTAACTGTATCGATATTTGTGTCGCCCACAGAAAAAACAGGGTAGCTCATTGCTCTGAAAAAAAAAACTGCACCATTTGTTCAAGAAAATTCAAGAACTCGCGTTTGGAAAAAGCTGGTTGTCTCTTTATGGCATCGGGCTGGACTTCAAATGTTTTTATCACTAAGTATTCAACATTTGCACTTCAAATCATGTACTCCCTAATGATGCTATGAGAATGGCCAATAATAATATATACAGCTACCCCCCCCCCCTCCATTCTACTTTCATGGTCCAAGCGCATGCAAGCGTAATTGTTGAGGACGGGTGTATCATCAGAATTGGTCAGCCTAGTCGTCAACCAAGTCTCCGTTAAAATATAGGCTTGAAATCCCAGCGCGAGATACTCCAAGAAAATTTATAAGTGATCAAGCTAGTTTTTTTATACTTCTAATATTAAGGTGTACCAGAGAAACGTCAGGTTGAGTAGATCGAAATGTCCTAATTATAGTTTCGGATGTGTACACATCACACATGTTTATAGGCTAAATGGTGTCATCATTAGTTTATTTTTGAGAGGTCTTTCGAATAAGAGACTCACAGGATACGACTACCTTCATGTTTTCTTGCTAAGACTTGGCCACCTGCTGACCAAATAAACTTCTATTTGAGCTATTTCTTCTTCGCTCCTGCTGCTCCATGCAACTACAAAGGCCCGTTGACGAAAATAGCACTATTTTCTCCATTCAGCCTAATGTTTCTTGTGGCGATTCTCATATTCTGAGCCTCGGCGAGTAACAACTCTCTCTTTGCACGCCCTACAAAACGAACAACAATGTTCTTGGTTGCCGAGTTCGCAGTTTGAACACTGTGCATATATCAATCTCCCTCTCAGCAGTTGCGCCGAATTAAAGACTGGTGCTCTGATACGCACCCTATATATTGCAGAGCCTCTGTTTCGACAGAGGTTTTTGTTTTATTTTGTGCCTAAATATCAATGCCAGGCCTCAACCCCTGCCCTGATGTTTTTTTGACAAATACGTACCCTAATTACAAGTTTGCGAATGACAGCGCTGGTACCCGAAGTCTACTTATATGCTGCTATCTGTTATATGGCCCCAAGATTTGGTGCAAGAGCCTGGCATTACTGTGTATAGAGAATCACGTAATTAAAGAGAAACGGCACTTGAAAGGGGAACTGTGGCAGCTTTTGTAGACAGCCAGGAAACATGACTCATTTGAAGTTAGGGCTCCCGTAAATTTCTGAAGCAGATAATATTGCCCTGTATGATGCACAAAATAGACATTTTTGTGCCAGTAGCAGGCACCAATCGCCTGTTTCGTGTTTTGCACTGTCGTCACTATCTACGCACCACGAGGGAACGACAGGTATTTGCTTAGTTTATGAACGGTACAGATATTTTTTTTCTCTTCTCTTAGGTAACGTACAGGGGTGACAAAAGTTCAAGGTCGCAGGCCACGCTACCATCGGATTACACAGCATAGCGACCTTGGAAATATTAACCACTCCTGTGCCTCTTTACCTCCTAGGGGTGCACGTATCATGGTTTGCTTTAAATCTGCAACAGCATAAATAAGTGCTTGCGCATTATCCCATCAGCTTGTCTTTTTTATGCTGCCGTTTATTTATTGCATATTCCGTACATGAAAGTGAAAGAGTGAATAAGCTTGCTCTTTGTGCTGGCTAGTTGAGACGTGGCAATCACGTTAAAAATACCATTAAAACTTGGGGAAAATGAACACCTGCTAGCTTTTTCGCGTTTTTTTACACATTTCCAGGAACTAACGTGAACTCAAGAATGTGTGGTGTTTCGTACGTCTCAGGCATCTCAAACTCACCAGTGCCGTGTAGATAGTTCCCGCTACTCCAATGCCCAGTGTCGTCCATATTATGGGCAGGTGAAAGACTGCGGTGGGAAGCAAAACGTTAAAAAAAGTGTGAATTAGAAAGAATGCAGTATTTTATACAAGGAAACACACATGTTAGATTTTGCTACTACTTTATCGAAATCGTTGCGTGTTTGACCACTGCTTGTATTTGGGTAGCTTTTAATCAGGCATTGCCAGTGTATTTTTTGAGTGGATGGGTCAAATTGTTTGTCCTGCATAGCGAATGCTGTTGAATGATTACTTACATTCACTGCCATATCTGTTATAGCCATTGAAATGGTATTGAAAGGCAAATCGGTCAAGTCTGAGCTTGATAACAGCTGGTGAGAAGAAGTTCTGTTATGCCGTTAGCTAAAAAAACATTCTTGTGCAGACTACTTCTGAGATAAGATACCTGCCACAGAGGTCTAGTTGCTAAGGCACTGGACTGGTGACCTGCAGGTCGTGGAATTGAATCCCAGCCGCAGTGGGCACATCTTATGCTAGAGGCCTATGTACTTAGGTTTAGGTGCACAGTAAAGAACCCTAGGTAGTCGAAATTTCTGTTATGCTCCACTACGACGTCTCACACAATAAAAAATGGCGAAAGAACATCCATGTTTGTGGAAAAACAAGCCAGGAGCAATGAATTGGTCCGCAACTCATAATTTTTATATAACAGAGATGTCGGTGTGAAATACCGATCATAACGAGTATTTTACGTTTTTATTACATGGTTTTATTTTTTCCACCTTCGTTTACTAGGGTTAGTTTGTTACGGTTTATTCAAGCGTACTTTGGTTTATATTTATAAAACACCAAGCATAGTTTCATTGGATGACATTGTAGTGTGACTCAGATAACTCAAGCCAAGCTGATTAATGTGGAGCAGCGTGCAAATATGCTACCAATGGCGTTTTGTGAGTTAGCCTATAGCGCAGGTGGTCGCACTTTTTGTTTTGTGGTTGGTGCTAAGTTACGTAGAGAATATAGGGCCTAAATAGTTGTTACTTCTCAAATCGTGAAAATGCAGTCGTCCAAAATTTTCCGTCGCCTTCGAAGACCTCACGCTAAAACACTTTATGGCCTGGTACATCACTGCTAATTACTATTTATGCGTTTGCAATTTCTAGGGCGGAAACCGCAGAAAGAGGCGAAATGCGTTATCTTCTGCTTCTACTGAGTCATTTGTGCTCGCAATTGATGAACACACATGTCCGCCACGGTGGTGTAGCAGTGACGGTGCTCAGCTGCTCACCAGGAGGTCATGATTTCGATGCCGGCCGTGGCAAGCGTAATTTTGATGGAAATTGAATTCTAAAGAACATATACTTCACGATGCCAGTGCACGCTAAAAACACCAAATATTCGAAATTTTCGGAACCCTCCACCATGGCATCTCTCGCAGTCATATCGTGATTTTGGGCGGGAAACCCCATATATCATTATTAATAAGTAATAGACATCTTTTTGCAGCAGTGGAGCCCAGTGTTGCCACGACACATAAAATTACGGTAGCAGATGTTCGTCATAAAATATCAGTAAAAATCAGTAGATTTCAAATTTTAATCTTTGCGCTTAGTTTTTGCATCACACATTCAGCGCTGGTATAGTGGTATACGGTAGAGTACTATAGCTTTCATGAAGCAGTGAAAATAATGACTCCAAGATTGCTGGTGTCTCGAGCGTGTCAACACAGCACCGTTCAAGACTGATTATATATACAAAGTTTTCTGATAGAACTCAGCAAGATGATATTTTAGTGTTTCAGGCATGAAAACCGACACGATGAGCCACCTCCTGAAGAAGACGGGCGGATGGAGAGCTTGGCAGTGTCATTTGCATGTAGGGGCAGGTACAAGACTTTTTCGAGGGGCGATCAGCTCATGGGAACTGAATGGTGAGCGATGGGAGTCCTAACAGGTCTTCTTCGTTGAAGAGGATCTTGGAAGTACACGATGAAAATTAAGCGGGGACGAGGTGGTTCTGTGTATTTTTATCCGCTCTCTAATCTGAACACACAAGAGTGCTTTACATTGTGAGTTCTTCAATTACTGCATGTTAAAAAAAAACCCAAGTGCTCAAAAATTCTGAAGTCCTCCACTACGGCATTTCTCATTATCATGCCGTGGTTTCGGGACGTTAAATGCCGAGAAATATTGCATTATAGTATATTCGTTGCCAATCCTTCATCTTACACCTTTGCGTGCTATTTTCCTTGGAAATATATACCACGTAGCCAATCTCCTCACTGTGCTGCATTGTTTTCCCTCGGACTTTCATGCATCCAATGACTTTCTCTTTCTACGTACAGTCAACCCTCCACATACCAGTCAGAATGACTAAAGGCATTTCAAAAAGCCCTGCCTAAATGTCACACCTGTGAGCAAGTTCTAGTAATTCTGAGAAGGTAGAAGTGGCAAAGAGGAAAAGCAGGGGAGTGTAGTATGTAAAGAAATAATTTCTTCGGTTAGTCCAGGTGTGGTCGAAAACTGCTCGTTTGCAGGCTTCATTCGCTCACAAATGTACAGTAAAATTCCGGCGAAACATCAATGTGATTCCAAAAACCCGCGAGTGGATTTCCTGTAAGAGTACTTCACAGGCTCAAACAGTGGCTAACAGGATAGTTTAGCATTGTAGGCTTGTTTAGCGCTTGTTAACTCCTACAAAATCCAGCGAAGGTGACCCTCGAATTCGTCGTTAAGGCGTACAGAGCAAAAGCGAGAAATGACAAAAAAGAAAGGCAGGACCAGTTGCAAAACATTGATTTTTTCTGCTATTCAGTTGCTCAAGTTTTCCGTTTGGAAAATACACTCGCTAACACATTCCTAGCAATTATACTGCTATCTCATTCGAGCGAACTGATAGCTTTCCTTCTTTTTTGTCCTTCACCACACCAAATCAAACTCGACATTGAAAAAGCAGTGGCTGTTCCGGATTTTATGTAGAAAATACAGAAAGTCAGTAGATTCAGACGCGTTATCACTCAGTCGGCAGAAATTTTAAAAAATAAGTACACCTGATGAATCAGCAACCATGAAACACTGGCGTACCCAGGATTTTGTATCAGGGAAGGGGAGGAAGTGGTCGCAAAAACACAAGGTGAATAAATATATATCTTATGGTAACTATAAAATGAGGCGTTAGCAAGCGCGTAATGGACAAGTCTGCAAATAAACTTTGGGTTTAGGAGGACGATAATACTGAACGTTGGCAGCCAACTTGGCTAAATTTGAATACTCAACTTATTTCTGACGGCAGTAAGCAGGCGTGGTCGCACTGAAAAAGAGGCAGTCCTATTTTGCGCAATTCCACTTATAGCAGCCCCGTAGTCTGAGATATGATGCTGCGAGTGGTGCATGCTTTTCGTGCGGTTACACATGCAAGACATTATCGGCCCGAAATTGCTCCCTTCTATGATGCGGCTTTCGCGTGTGGCGTTAAGTGAAGTAACATTTGATCATTCTCGTAGTCTACTCCGATACTATTCCAAAATTTGTATCTTGTGTTCGACTCAAACACCTTTTTTTTGTGTATGCAATAATCAGTAACTTAGCCCCACTTTGGAAGTAGCTTGTACAAGTCTACTGATGATATGTTGGGGTTTTACGTCCCAAAACAACAATGTGATTACGAGGAGAGCCGTAGGGGAGTGATGCCGAAATTCCTAAACCTAGATGAGATTATTTACTGTGCGTCTAAAACTGAGAACATTGGCTTATAGCACGCCCCCTCCATCGAATTGCGGCCCCCATGGCCGGCATTCTATTGCGCGACCTCCGGGTCAGCACTGAAAAATCATAACCACTAAACCACCACGGCGAGTTCGTGAACAAGTCGAACAGTCGCACCTCAGCAGTGAGTAGAGTTGGGAAGGAGATCAACTTCACGAAATCATTATACATGGACGTCCAAATATGTTTCTTCTAGCATATGCATCATACCACGGCGCAGTTAAACAAAAAGGTTACGAATGCCCTGATTCACCTTTTACCCCGTGCCTTAACATGTATACTAAGGATTTTAATATAAATAATAAAGATCCAAATTGTGCTTTAGGACACTTCCCATAAACCGACACCTTTTTCGGGAGAGTCCTGTATCCGCTCGCCTCACCGAAGTTATTGACGAACTCTCCTTCTGTTTGGAGTATTTCATGATATTCTGTGCGCATTTCTGGTGCGTTTAACCCCTTAATTCAGAATTCCGAACCTTTCGTAGGACACGCCACAAAATGAACTATCGCAACTCACCCAGAGTTAGGAGCTAAGTCAGGAAACTTTGTTCTTCCGTGTTTCCATCAAACAGCGCCTTGAAATAACTGTGTTGTGTTGCATCGTTTACTGTATGCCATGAAGCTGCGCACAATTCTAGCCTTGTCATTGTCTATCACTTGATTGATATTGATCTTGACAGTGTGGAGCCGCTGGTGAACTCGGTGCTGCCACCCAAAGAGGGGAAGGGGGTGGTGGTGTAAAAGTGTTCTTGTACAAGCTGCGCTATCATCCAGACACGACGTTAGCGAAGCTGTCATATCAGATGACTTGACAGGCAAGAACATTGTCTGTCAGCTGCAGTTATTTATATTGACAAAGTCATACGGAGCATCGCCCTACCGTGACGCGGGGCGTGGGAGGAACACAGCTCACGCGTAGCTGTCTTCAAGTGAGAGTGCTTGTCTTGGAGTCGCGTTATCAACTTTTGCATAGCTTAAATGTGCGCACTTGATGAATGTGCGTCGGCAGCAGGTGACTGAAGGCTGTTTCACATGCCGCGATGGCCGCGAAAAAAAAAATCATTCCGTTCGTTCCGTTTGCTCTGTTCACAACCACCGCTAATGGTGCTTTCGTTTCAGACGCACTGCAAATGCTCCGCGATTTTCGTTCTGCGACTATAGCGGCGAGTTCTTGCCACCATTGTTTGTGGCAGACACGGTTGTAATGTGATGATGTGTGAATTAAGATATCATTAAGTTTCCATGAATGACAACGATGGACCTGCCTAATTGTTTCGTCATATAAGCACACTTTCTAATATAAATTCTTTTTAAAATGCACAGCATTGACCATTACCATAACAAACACGTATACTCTAGTTCGATGGCTCGGCCATCCCGGCCCTTTTTCAATGGGTCCCGACCAAAAATCGCTCCCGCCGCTGCGATTTGAGCGAAAACTTCCAACATGTTAGAAGCTTGCCTCGGACTGCTGTGGCAGGAGCGAACTGCCCCCCCCCCCCTTTTTTTTTGCTGCAAGTGGATTTGCTGTTTGAAAATCGCTACTTTTTTTGTCACGTGGAACGGCCTCAAGACGGACCACTTTCGCTTTCTTGAAATCCTGATAATGCGCGTTCATATGAGCACGCTGCTGACCAGTGGTGAGCCAGATGGGACACAGTATCTTCAGAACGCAGTATGCGTGCACTGGTTGGTGGAGGAATAGCACCGTAAAGCTATAGGGGAGGGGCTATTTCCCGCAATAGAGAAGTGTCATTAAAAAAATATCCTGACATCTCGACACCTGTCATTAGCATGAGCTATACGTTGAGGCTCACCTGTTTTATCACTGCTGAATTTAATTTGCAGATTACTTCACCCAACCTGTCAACAAATTTTTATTTTCAATTTGAGGGCAGTTGCTTATATGGAAAAATTGTTCAGCGTCAGAGTTTTGTGAAAATCGTACTTTTTTAGACGTGCAGAAAATCTCATGCAATTTGAGCTGTTCATCATTCAATTGCAAGAATTTGATGCTGGTGATATCGAAATCGAGCGCACTAGAAGCGCAGAGAAGGTGGTTAATTGCATCGGATAGGAACACCCCGTGAGAAAGAAGTTGTGAACCTTGTATAATATTTTTTAAAAATTTGAAGTGGTAATATGATGGAGGCAAAAAAAAGCTGAAAGAAAGGCACGCTGCAGAAAACCTTCTCATGGTCGGAAATCGCTTGAAGTCGACAAGTCTCGCAGAAATGCTAATCAACAAGTATTGGTAATTATTCATTATAATGTACTTTGAGTAGCAGCAAAGTATTTCGACTTTGAAAGCTGTCTAACCTTCATAGTAGCATTTTTACTGAAAAACTCTATTGTCCACAAAACATCCTGTATAGTTTCCTTCCTTGTTTTTCTTTTTCACCTTTTCTTTCTTTTTTTGACGTACACGAGTTGTTCAGTGGAAGAAAGAGCTCATGCAGCAGTTACAACTGGTGCCCTTATCAAAGATGAGGGTAACGTGAGAGGCCTTAGTAGGCTACAATTGAGGCGTTATGAAATTGGGGTAAACATTCCTTTTGCTAGAAGAGCGGGATCGATAAGTATTTGGGACGGTCACACGTGCGGTATTTTGATAGTTACCTATATTTCCAAAATTTTTTTCGGGGGAAGAAAAGTATGGAGCAAGAAGTCAATGTTTTGCTGAAGAATTTGTTACAATTCAACCTTGCCCCTGAAATGCGCTAAATGTAATCAAAATTAACTGAATGAGGAAGTTTTGAGAACCATTCGTGCAACATTTATTTGTAAATAGAGAGGGGAAGACGAGATGGAACTCGCCCTATTTATTTTGCTTAAGAAACTTGCACTGTTGTAATGCTCATGCAAGTAGTGAGCAAGAAAAAAATACATTTATGACCCTAAATTCTGACACTGTACACGCAACGAAAATGCAGCGAACTGGCAGAATACATTAAATGTACCTCTTTTCTTGTGTTCTGTTTTCTGCCTTACGTCTTCAACCAGATCGCACTACTCTCTACCGAAGCTATTTTGCTGTAATGTCGACTGATTCGTTTCTTACCTGTGGCGGCCGCAACGGATGCCGAGAATAGGGCCACTGCGCCAATGGTTTGCTGTGAAAGAAAATGTGGTTGTTAAAGCAGAGGAATAAACAATATCTAAGCCTATGGCATGCTGGAAATCCAAACTAGCTCCTCTTTCTTTCCTGCATCTGTAAATGCGCCCCACAGTTGCAATTTCTACGAGCCCAACTATGAAATTCGGCGAATAGGTGCGACCATAAATCTAATTTTATTTTTCAAAGCAGCCAGATAAATTGAAAGTGTAAAAAAAAGTCACAGTTTCGCCGCAAGGGTGAAGCGATGATTGCGACAGCAACAAATTGCAATGTCAGATGAAGAAAAGCAAGCAGCTCGAAACGTGCAGCGCGCTAATCAAGCAGAAAAAACGCACAAAAAGAACAAACAGGTTAAGCGCGAACTAACAACGTTCTAGCTCCACACTTTACGCATGCTGTTCAAACACAAAAAATGATTCACAAAACGTACTGCGTACAGGCATACAAGTGATGAGCGTGAGCAAACAGCTGTCACTGTATTATACTTCGTTGTATTTGAATGGTGCACTCCATTCGCAAACAGGGCCACTGCAGCAAGCGAAGTGCCCTTCGTGCGCTCTGTAACTCCAACGTAAACATTGCAATGGAAGTGCCAGCCCTACAAACCACCGCCACCATGAGATAAACGCTCGCGCATGGGCGACCATGCCCTGTTTCGCGAAGCAGTTGTTAGGGCATCCCACCATTGCCACCACTGTCTCGATTTCGGGTAGCGTGGTCCAGACCGGAGCCATCCGCGGCTCAGGACAGGACGATTAGAGGAGCCGAAGCTGGTAATAATAACGTGTATTTACAAGCATTTACATGATCGTACTACTTGAATGAATGAAGCACCCTTCTGGAGCGTCTCTGCCCTCGCGTTTTATGCTCTGGTGTTCCCAATTTTCCCTGCATGGAAAAACAATTGAGGCTCAGACAGTCGAATTAGATTGTCGTCTTAATCTCCACCCCCGAAGAGGGAAAGTCAAACACCGCCTCTTTCGCAACCTAGGACAGGGAGAAGAGGCTTGCCCAGTTCGTCACACGGCGAGGGAGCAACACACACAATACACGACTCAACTAGCATGGTGCGATGACGGGAAGCCTCAGGCGCAGAGATGACTCATTAGAGGTTTTGAGAATGCTACGAAAGCACGTTACGGAAATGCGACACGGTTCCTTTTCGTATGCGCGTACAATGGCCGCGCATGCGCACTGGTCAGCCGGTTTCGTATTGCCGCGTTTCCATAACGTGTTTTCGTAGCTTGCTAAAAACTTCTATTGAGGAGGCATCGCTGCCTTGCAGGTCACAGTGTGTGGAAAAAAAAAAAGACTTGAAGGCGCCAAGGAAAGCGAAGCCGCAGAGCCTGCACATATCTCTGTCTGAGGAGTCCGTCGGTCCGGCGTGTTTAGAGGGTTTTGAGCGAGGTGAGCCGACGACCCTGAAGAATTCGCCGCTGTGTTGGCGCCGTTTCGGAATGTTGCTCTCGGTTGCTGAGAAGAGCTTGGCCAACGGCAATTTCCCGACAAAAGGAGCCGGCGACGTGGTATTGCATGATTTTGCGCATTCATCACCGTCCGAAGGACGAAGCAGAGCAGCCCTGTAGGGGAACGTACGCGTTAAACAAGCGCGCGCATCTCAAAGAGTGGGGCGCCGACCTCAAAAGCGTGCCTCTCTCGCCATCTCGCCGGTAATGCAGAGATCCGGCGGAAGTGCCCCCGAAAGTGGCGTACCGATGTAGTCACCGTACAGCGTTGAAGAAAGTACACGCGGTTGTGGCCGAGCTCTCCGACGCCACGCAATATTATATGGGTCAGTCCATATCCGGTGTACCCGGTCAATTTTACACCATCTCCGATCATGCTGCGAAAAAATCGTGCAGCTATATCTGAAGTTGAGAAGCCGTTATTGAGGTGTTATATCTCGCAAAAAAAAAATTGTGGTTGCCTAGAGGGCGCTTCAAACTTTAGGCACACAAGTGAAACTGTGTCACGCCAAATAATTTATACTACATTACGGCGTTGACTAAATAATACGAAACATTTTTTCATTAATTTGAAGACGCTACTCTATCAAAAATGTGACAGTTTAGTCATATGTGTTTTATTTTTTTTTCGCTTTCGCAAGAAATTGGAATATGCTTGCATGTTTTTGTGGTTTAACAGAAAAGTGCTGTATGCCGGGGTCCACCACGGCTCCGTGGACGTATTGCCGTCGCTAATATGGCGTTCCGAATATATACAACTTTTTGTAAAGAAAAAAAACTACTTTTAATATTACCGCCATAGGGCGTCGAACGAGTGACTTCTCGAACAAAGGCGTGTGGCGCTAACCACAATGCCACAGCACACATGTAGCGGGAGCTCTTAACGGCAAGCCATTTATATACACCATATACCATTTGGTAGATCTCAGTGCTCAGTGAAAGTAATTGATTGATATGTGGGGCTTAACGTCCCAAAACCAGGCTCAGTGAAAGTAAGCCAGTGATAACAGTGAAAGGTAGTCACGTGTTTGAAGGGGGAAAAAGTGTGTTCATTGTCATTACGCGTGCATGACGCAACCTCTTTTGCTAGCGCCAACCCTCCCTGCTTAGTTTCCAGCATAGGTCGGAAAACTCACTCATGAATTGACTCACTCGGACCAAGATCGAACCATGCATTTAGAGTCTGAGTGAGACCGAGTGGGTAAAAATTTGGTGGGATTAATGGCATATTCGGTTGGGCGCTCTGGTCCTCTACCTCAAAGTTGACAGATGCAGAGGCAAGTCGCAATCGGACTGCGAGAAGCAGCGTTCCAACCGAATATGTCAGCAATTTCAGAGCGCCCAGAGCAGCGTGCCTGTGGCGCCACCGTGCATCCAGCGTGGGAAGCTGCCGGGTAAACATAGCTGCGCCGCGTCAACATCGTCAGCAAATGGCGCCGATCACTTCAGTGGACATCTGTGACATGTCTGACCTTTGTTATATTCTTTCTCTCTCGCTTGTTCTGACATGTCTGGATCTAGTGAAAGCTTTCTGAGCTCAGCACAAAATCTGACGATCATTCTCGTTTCAACTGCTATCTTCAAAGTAAATCACGATGCTGTATGCGAGCTGCTGTAATGACAGTCTCATCATTTACATGGTGCATTCGTGGCTTCGTAGATGTGAATTCGCCCTACACACGCGCGAAAACGCCATTAACAACACACGTGCACGATGTATTACGCGCCTGGTGATTCCCCCTTCCGAAATTCACGCTCGCGCTCCTCACCTCGTTCACCTGCCAGCAGTAACGTGATTGACTGGCTTGTGCCACGTGATTCGTGCACCCAGTCAGATCGCACCACGCTCTCACTTTGAAGTCAGAGCAGACGGGAGCACTCTGAGTCAGAGGCTGACGCTCTTAAAGAACCAACCGAAGGTGGTCCGAGCGTTCGAATTCTACCAACCAGAGGCGAAGTCACTTTTCAGAGCGCTCGAGAGCACTCGAAAACGTCCAACCGAATACGCCATAAGTCGGAGTGAGTTAGGTCAGTCGAGAACTTTATGAGGATGTTCTGAAAAGTTTTGAAAAAAACTTTTCATGAAACTCAGTCTAAGTGAGTCATGTTGAAATAAAATTTGATGAACCTGAGTTCGACTGAGCCCTAAGCACAAACTCTATTTCTTAAGGAAGTCCACTCGAGGTCCGCATTTTTACCGACATACGGCTTCCAGTGCACTCGTTGGAACGAGAGAAGAGCAATCAAAGCGTGTGACCAATCTCTAAAAGTCTGCTCGTACTTGATGACATTTATATTTTTTTGTAGCAATCGATTCATGAGGCAATACTCTTTTAAGGAAGCTATTCGATGGTTACATGAACAAGTACGAAAGATCCCCTTTAATATTTACTGCGCAATATACGCATTGACGTTCAACTTACAAATAGAAGGAGGTGTAATAAAGGAACCTTTTAATTTGTTGTAGCGTCGCAAATACAAAGACGTCCTCATGGAAAAACTAAAACACGCAAAAAAAACATCGATGACTCTGTGTGTCTTGGGATGTTATCTTTTCTGCGTGTCTTGCCTTTTCCACGCTAAATACAACATAGCAGATGATGCCACACCAATAAACTGATTTAGCTACATGGGAGGAGTAGGGAAAACTGGGAAGCCACGCAGACGTGCGCCAGGTATGCTGTCGTACGCGGAGAAAGAAGGCTAAAAAATACAAAGAAGGAACGGAGAGAACACAAACAATGGTGCTTTCATCTGAAGTGCCTACTGACGCCACAATCAGTCATTGAGTAATAGCAAGCTGGAGATGATGAGGATGATGATGATGATGATGGTGGTGGTGGTGGTGATGATAATAATCATGATGATTATGACGAAGATAATCAATATAAAGATATTGTCTTTACGCTGACCAGGATGAGGCACACCATTAAGGAACAACAAAACTCCAAGATACGCCACATAAAATACTGAGAGGAAAGCCCCTAATGTGGGGGGACATCAACACTGACACGCACGTACTAGTGCCTCTCATTTCAAGTGAGGTGAACTAATCGCTTATAAAGACAAACACACTGCGTTTGTCGTGGGAGGCGAAGCTCTCCGAACAGGTCCTGGGAAGCCGGCTCGATTCCTTGGACAATGAAAGCCTGACGAGCCACTATTAGCCAGCGGTGCCCTGAACGAGCAGTCCACGGACACTCACAACCAATGAACTTCCGACTAAATAAAAATTAACATGTCTTTCAATTGTTCTTACCTTAGACTTTGTGATTTGCTTAAATAGCCGATACACCACTTCATATTCACGGAATTCGTGTGGTGGTGCTCGCGTGAGTTTGCCTAAATTTGCATGACCACCGATGCATCGTCTATAGTGGATTGATGCACGTGAGCTGCACATTCATTCCGGCTTCGTGAAGTTTACGTGACTATGGGTGTTTCCGAAAGCCTGCTATCAAGGTGATAAAGAACATTTCCTTGGCATCATGGAAAGCTTCAGCGTCTCTGGCTGCTTGGAGAGTATGAA